GCATTGCTTAAAGGAATGGATGCTTCCACATGGGGAAAGCACATGCAGATGCCCCAGTTTACAATGTGAGTGGTTGGAGAAGCTAACTTGAATTATCTAGGTTATACCATGGTACGAAGAAGCACCCAAATGTCACAGAACCTATAGATATCTATAGTTGGATGCGGGCTCACATTCACTTCAAGCATGTACCAACAGAGACCAGTTTTCCACAAATGTATTTCTGGTTTCAGATAGCATAATCATAGTGATTCTCATAGGTCAGGCATCATCTCCACATTGTAAATGGGGTTGAAGGACCGTGGGTGTCTCTTGTTACCCGCTGTGATGCTTTATGCTTTGAAATGTGTGGGTGTTAACTAAATGTGAAGGATCGTCCCCTGGGGCAGGAGGCTGGGCTCTGCAAACTTATGCCCCTCTCTGACCCTTTGGTTCTATAAACTCCTTGCCTTGAAGGCACAGGAAGATTGTCCCTCGTGTCAGGTGGTGTAGGCACTCGGACTGTGGATTCCACACAATCCACCTTCAAAACAACAACAACAGGCATTTATTTGCATTTGCACCCCACAGAGGCTATTTTGCAAAGACAGACAAGTGTGGTATGGAGAAACATTTTGATCCCTCTTTAATTTATAATTGGTTTTTATATGCAGAGGCTGAAGTGCCCCTGTGCCCCAAGTACAGTAAGTCACACTTCATCTGCACAGGATTTGACAGAGAGAACGAGCGCTCTAGAGGGTGGGCTTTAATTTGCGCTGGCCCCAAAGTGTGCAAATGATAGGGACGCTGCCTAATTGTTTCCTACATAACTAACACAAAGAGCAGGAAGGTGGTGATCCGAGCCTCAAGCATTTGCCAGCCATGACAATTGATCTAAGGCGATTCTAACAAAGTAACACAGACTGGGATTGTGTTAACTCTCTGAGCAAGGAACCTCGTGCGCCAATTTCCATACTTGTGCAAGGCACAGTAGTAATTCCGGGTTACTCCTGTGAGGATGAATGTTGACCTCATTGGGAGGAATATGTGATGCAGCATACTCAAGGGAGAGGGTAGTTTTTCAACCTTTGGAGATCCCAGTTTTAAAATCTCCCCAAGTTCCTCTTAGTTCTCAACTGCCTGGCTTCAAAGCAGCCAGGTCATTATGCCCAGGACCAGCTCTAGTTTGACAAAGAAGGGGAGCTGACATGGCCGTGCTCCTCCGATCAGTGTCAACAGTCTGCCATTTTAATTTCCCCGCTGTGCCCCAGAGTGATGCTGCCTCAGCAGCACTGGGGAAAGTGAATTTAAATGGTAGAAACAATCAGATCTATAGTGGGAGGGTTCGAAGGTGATTGGTACTTGGTAACCAGTGCTATGTACATGTTAGTCTCTTGGCAATGGGGTGTACATGTTGACACACCCACCCAAATCAACCACCGGCTGCTTTGCGCAAAGGGAAGGCCCATAGCTCAGCCGTGGAGCATCTGCTTTGCAGGTCCAACCCCTGTCACCTCCAGCTATGGCTGGAAGAGATTCCTTATCTGAAACCCTGGAGAGCTGCTTGTATCTGGTGTAGATAGTTCTCAGATAGATGAACTGATTGTCTAACTCAGTGTAGGGCAGTTTCCTCTGTTTCTATGTGTGTAATAATGGGCACAGATAGTACAGAGGCAAAGCATTGTGTGTGTGTGTGTGTGTGTGTGTGTGTGTGTGTGTACAGTGGTACCTTGGGTTGCATATGCTTCAGGTTGCAGACTCTACTAACCCAGAAATAGTACCTCAGGTTAAGAACTTTGCTTCAGGATGAGAACAAAAATTGTGCTCCGGCGGCACGGCGGCAGCAGGAGGCCCCATTAGCTAAAGTGGTGCTTCAGGTGAAGAACAGTATCAGGTTAAGAACGGACCTCCGGAATGAATTAAGTACTTAACCTGAGGTACCACTGTATCTGTATCTGTATCTGTATCTGTATCTGTATCTGTATCTGTATCTGTATCTGTATCTATATCTCTATATATATCTATGGCTTCCTCTCTCTCTCTGATTCTCCTTGCTAAATGAAGACTAGTTAAGCACAGCATGCATGCTTAGTGTGGGCTGTCTTGGCTACAATGCCATCTGATGCACTTGGCTTATCCAGTTCAAAAAGTTGTAATTGGGTTGCTAATATAAGAAAACAATCTAAGCAAGATGTCAGCACTGCACCTGATGGCTGACAGTCACCACAATAGAACTCGTGTGCACTGTGTTTACTCGGAGGACAGAGAAATTGCAGGATTTTACAAGTATTGCTTAGACATCTTTAGTTTCTATGCTTCTATTATGCTAAAAAAGCGAGCCTTTTGTGCAGAGTTCTTTTCATTTCTGAATAAATTAACCATTAAGCAGCTCTGCATTGTCTGAAAGGCGGGGAAAAGGAATGGGAAAGCTAGGATTCAAAACCAGTTTGTGTGTGTGTATGCATGCATAATTGGAAAGCGCACTGCTTGCGAGTGCATATCCAGATACTATTTTCATTTCCATTTGTTTTATTAAAAAAATGTATATCGCACCATTCATCTGGCGATACCAGGGATGTTTACCGTGTTAGAACAGCCAAAACAAGCATATTACAACGCAATTGAATACAACTTCATCCATCTATAAGATGCCACTGATCAGACTGAGATCTTAATTACCAGCAGTCTTCAGAAAGAGAGAAGATTTTAGCTGCCACCTCTCAGCCAGGAGGTGGGAGAGTAGATTCCATAGCTGGGACATTATTGCTGGAAAGGCCAACTCTTGAGTCATAAACACCCAAACTTTGTATAATGGTGGAACAATGGGGGGATGACTCCCTAGCAGATAGCAAACCAAGCATTATTTTGAGGTCATTACCACACTGGGGTCCCCCTCCTGCCTCCCAATGTCATGGATATTATTCTAAACAAAATGCTACATCCAACTCTTTGCTGATTAATAAAAAGTTTTGTTGGGGGTTTTTTGCAGCAGGCAGCTACACCAAAACAATGTTCTTATGCCATTTTTGAGAGTATTTGACATGCTCTGTGGAGCAGGGATGGGGATCTACCTTGTTGGAGTCCAACTCCAGCCACCTTTTGACCAATGGACAGTATGACCCATGGTCTGTGATAATGGGAATTATAGTCTAGTGATTTCAAGAGGTCCATAGGTCCTCCACTCTATTCTGGACAGTCGGGAAGTGGAACATACAGTGGGGCTATGGAGATGAGGGGCAGATGGTGGACAGGATCTGTTTCTTGCAGCCCAGTTTGAATTAACTTAAACATAGCAGATGAACAAGGGCACAGAGTGGCAAAATATAGGTTCAAAACACAGGTAATCCAACATATTTTGATGGATGGAAATATCACGCTGGTGCATGGTGGCTGAAAATAAAGTGGCAGTGGGGAAACAATGCAAGTGGTATGCCATCTGCATGAGTAATTTCCCCTTTCTCACCTGGACCTCAGTTTTGAGACAAAAAAACCTTTTATCTCCGCATCTGTGAATTTATAGATAGATGATAACTCTAAAGGCGGTGGAGGGAACATTCACGCTTTCCCTTTTTAAACTGGTTCAGCTGCTCTGCTAGAAGGGCAGATTTGCTGTTGAATTTTGGCACTCTTCTTTGGATCTCCTCTCAGAGTCTCCTCTCGCATGTCTTTGTTGACGAAATGACAGACGCTCTTCTGATGAGGAAATATTTAAACTGGTCGGATACTCATGGCAGAAAGAGCAATTCTCCACAGCTCATTTGTTTTAGATAAACTGCCATAAAGTGAATTAAAGACACTCTGCTGTTAGGTGCCTAGGTGTGTGTGTGTGTGTGTGTGTGTGTGTGTGTTTAAAGGTGCCTGATGGATCATTGCAACTCTCTCCAATGCATTTTAAAAGCAATTAGAGAATTAGCATAGTGCCATTTAGTATGTTCACCATCTTATTTTTTATATTAATGAAGCATTAATACATTACCCCCAGTTTCCTTTATTATCATGGAAACTATTATTATCAGAGCTGTTGACGAATTAAAGAATTTCTAGTTGGTTAATCACCTGCCTTTCAACTGGATGACAAATCAGTTAATTTATTACTCATTTAAGTGGATGTGCATGTTGCCAAAACCTTTTGGAGACATTGAAGCAAACATAAAATAACTTAGAATTTATTTAATAAACAAATGTAACTGGCCATTTTTAGAATGAAAAAGCCATATTTTATTCCTCCCCCCTTATTCCTAAAATGAAAATAGTCTTTAAAATAGAGTCAAGTGCATTCTTAACTGGAAACTTCCCAAATTCAAACTGAACCCCGTAGATCAAGAGTGGATAAGCTGTGAACCCTCAACTGCTTTCCAATTATGAAAAGTCCATTATGTTAGAAAGTTGGAGAAAGTGGTTTCTGCACACCCCAGAGTGAGAGATTGCTTTGGGAAACAGATTCTGCCTCCCTCCCCCAAATGTGAGATGACAGTGAATGAGTTTATCTAGGGAGTATTTTATCTAATGGATAAAACAAATTGCACATTGTTGCTTGTTTGTATATTAGTATCAATGCAGGTTTGACTAGTGTTGTAGATATGTGAATGGATTCATGACTAAGGAAGCATCACTGAATTATGCTGAGTCTTTGCCGAGGATGGAGAGTGTGATTTGAAGGTGTGCTGGTTTGAGTATGTTAGTTTAGAGAATGCTGCCTTTTGTACTTATTTTAGCTAACGTATGGATTTGCAAGCAAAGTACATTATTTTCACCTTTTTGTGCACACTTTTCCTAACATACTCATATCTAGGTTGGAGACCGCAGCAATTTTGTAAGACAGCATTACAAAACTCAGAGAAGTGCTAATTTCTTAGGATATCTGCATTTGAGTTTACTTGTTGGTTTGGGAGGTGTGGACATAGCAGGTTGAATGAATTTCTCTCTCGCATACCTGCTACGTACGCAAGCTTTTAAAAATTCTGCTTAAATGTGGCAAGGTCCCACATTTGTGGCCTTATATGTTAGTACCTTGTGCCCCCATCTTTCCCAACATCAGGGTCTTTTCCAGGGAGTCCTCATGAGAAGAGAAGACTCCCTGGAAAAGACCCTGATGTTGGGAAAGATGGAGGGCACAAGGAGAAGGGGACGACAGAGGACGAGATGGTTGGACAGTGTTCTCGAAGCTACCAGCATGAGTTTGACCTGGCATGCTCTGGTCCATGGGGTCACGAAGAGTCGGACACACCTAAACGACTAAACAACAGCAACAACAACAGCAACAACTATTATTATTATTATTATTATTATTATTATTTACATTTGTATCCTGCCTTTCCCCTAAGGAGCTTAAAGTGGCCTACTTGCTTTCTTACCCTCTCCGTTTCATCCACACACAACCCTGTTTGGTAGGGGTGTTGGTGCAGCACACACCCAATGGGCTTTATGACTGAGTTGAGATTTGAACTCTGGTCCCGCAGGTCCTAGTCTCACATGATAAGCTGGCAGAGTAAATTTATAGAACAGGGTTGTTGTTTTTCGCGTTGTCATTCACAGGTACTGGCAACGGATATGGTCCATTTAAGAAAGCAATTATATCCCTTTGGAAAGTAATTCTATCCGGTATATGATGTAGGTGCCAGAACACATTCACACCCTTTCAGGGGAAAAAATTCCATAAGAGAAAATGCCATTAAGGATAAATTAAGCACTTAGCGCCTTTCTCTTCACAAGTTTCACGAGTTTTAATATACAATGCTTTGTGCCAGGTTGTTCTCCACACTGTTGTTATTCTAAGGACATCTCCCCACCCAAACCTACCCAAAATATCTAAGCCTCCATATCAGAGTTTACAGATAAGAAATGAAACATTGCCCATAAACAAACACAGATGAGCTGTTTACTCTGGAAATTCCCCATACTGCTGAAATCATGACTATCCAAAATTCATTCTCTCCTGAACCCATTCTATAGCAGAATTTTATTTTAGATCTACACTTGGACTGGAAGATGAGCCCTTGCCCCACCTCCAAAATATTAATCATAAATAAATGTAAATATAGTTTATATGTGCATTTGGAAAGGGAATGTGCATTTAAGTAATATGTTTATAGAAAATATGTATGTTTTTTCAGGTACAGTGCTTGCATTTTGAGAGCACCTGTGGCACAGTGATTAGAGTTCAAGACTAGGACTGAGTTCAAATACCCAGTCAACTACACCATTCATGTTGGAGCTAACTCTTTATTAGCAAAAACAGGCTCTGCAAATGAATGTCAGGCCTAATGAAAACAGCAACTCATGTCCGGTTGGTCTTGCCTCCATGAAGGAGTTGCTGAGACTGACAGTTCTTGCCTCCCCACAGCCGCCCTAGTCCCATCCTATCCAGGGTTTCCCACCCACCCAAGCAATCAGAGGCTGTGTCTGTGTATCGCCAATCTTTCCCCTGCCCTTTTTATGCCTCTTCTGGTTCTGAGGGACAAGAGAAGAGGGGAGCTTGTTGCAGCGGCAGGAGGAGGCACCTTTGACTCTTCACCAACCTTTAGGCCTTTTGACCTCTTTTCTCCCAACCTCCTGCTTCAGGTTCTGCCTCTGATTCTGGAATTATCCCAGTTCCCTAAGCCTGGTTACCTCCTCATCTTCTGACTCCTCCTCTTTCCAGTCTTCTCTCTCTGACCACTCATTGTTGTCCCACTAACGCTCCCTGGGCTCTGAGCCTTCTTCCCTTGGTGGTTTCCCCGCTGGTTCCTCCCTTCATTCCTCAGTGGTCCATGACCTTTTGCTACTTATGTGTTTTCCTTGTTTCCCTTACAGGGTTGTTGTGAGGATAACTGGGGTGGAGAGAACCTTAGGTGTTCTGAGCACTCATGTGTTGATGGGTGGGATAACAATTGTTTAGATGAATGGATGAATTGAGCTCAAGTTTTAGCTATCTCCTGTTGGCATTGTTTTCCCCTTTCTCAGAGAGAAGTGCTCTTTACACATTGAAGGATAAAGAGTCCCTTTCAACTAATGCAAGAGTGGAAACTGTTAAGATATTCTGTGTGAAGCATTTTGACACCCAAGTGCCATATAGATGCGCTAATCGTCATTGCCATGCACCTAGCCCACAGCCCTTGCTCAAGTAAAAATGTATACAGACAGTTGCCAACACTAGCATTACAAAGATCCATAGAAGTAACAAGATGTCATAGCAGTGTTCTAGACAGGAGTCAAGCCGGATTAAATTGACATTACGTTTCTGAGTGTGAATGACTGCTTCCTATGCTTCCACGGGAATATATTTTGAAAGCACTTTAAATATCTGTATTATTATTATTATTATTATATGCAGTAGGTTCACGATAGCTCCCCCAAATTTACCCCAGTGCCAAAAAGGTATCAGAGAACCGCTTAGAGCAATTGGCTTCAACTAGGCATTATGCAAGCTTCCTTCCTTCCTTTTTTGCAACCGAGAGCCAGGGCTGCAATTTTCTTTTAAAATTAGTTTTAACAAGCTGGATTGCACCCAACTTTGGCTCTTCCAAGAAAGCAATTTTGCAAATGGGGAGCTGCTCCCGATGCATCAGCTTGGATGGGAGAGTCTCTCTGATTAAAGAGGCAGAAGTGATGTGGGTGTCCTTCTGCGAGCACAACACCCTGGTTGACAAGAACCTTTCATCGCCCCTTAATTTAACGGGACAGCTATCAAACATTGTTCCCAGCAAGGTTAAGGAAGGCGAGCACTAAGTAAGAGCCTCACCTGAATTCTAACGTTCCCGACCAGAGCTCAACATCTTCAAAGGAATTGGTATAACTAATAGCCCAGTCCTCATCACATTTGCATGCAAATGGTGTTGGGACAGGACTCCTTAGGAAGAGCACCTCACCTCTATAGGTATCTTCCAAACTTTGACAGTGGCTGAGCTTTGGGTTTCCTGGTTACTTTCTTTACTACATGAAGAGTAGGGCTTTCCTCATGGAACTCCCTGTCTGAGGAGCCTGGCTGGTTTGGGGGCTTTTCTGAAGGCTGGTAAAGTCTTTTGTGTTTTGGGAGTGTGGAGTAGCAACTGAAGTAACTGTGGAAAGGAGAGAAACTTGATTCGGGTCACATTTAAAATATGAACCTACCTAATTCACAGTAACCAAAACAATACACAAGCCAGAACACAACCAACCTTTGAAAGGTCACATTTCTCCAAATTTTGCAGTACAGTTTTCCAGCCAAGTAATGTGTACATATCAGGAAACACTGATATGAAAAAGTATGGATTATGCATAAATGCATACAAATATGGATATTGTGATAAATTTGCACAGGCTGATGAATTTCCATGAGGGCTTTTAAAAAAAATGCAAGCTGATGTGGACACATGAGAAACTGAATTTAATTCTGGAATAACTGAAAAACCAAGAGAAACCAAAACTGACAGATTCATCCTTCCCAAGATGCAAATTTATTTGATTTTTACATAAGTTGTTGTGGTTTTGTTTTGTTATAGTATGTGTGTTGTTTTTTTGATGGCTAGTTACCACAGATACCTATTGCTGTTTAATCAGACATATCAGGCGTTTTTACATAAATAAATAAAAACATGGAGTTAAGCTCTTGATTTGATTGCAATTTACTTCCAAAAAATGTGTAAGGATAAGCAAACTTCTGGAGGGTCACAAGTTCCCCACCACTTCTCTGAAAGATAAAGTGGTTATAAGAACTAAAGCTGTTTGGTGGTGTTCTCCCCTCCCCCCGCACTAAGTCTTTGAGTAGGCATATTCTGGGAGAGAACAAAGTAGTACAAGATCAATATAGTTCCTTATATGATAAATAAAAGGCATGAAATTTAAATCCACATTACAAGCTGGGAGCTTATGACTTGGAACATGATCGTAAGATCCAACTTCTGCAAAGCTAACTGTCTTGAAAAACCTCTTTTGTGTTCCACTAAATTAAAGTGGATATATGGATTACAACCAAAGCAATCAGAAGCTACACCAGAGTTAAAACAACATTCACTTGATGCCAGCTACTTAAATGCTCTGTTACGGTAAATCTGAAATTTGATCAGCCCTTTTCGTTTCCACAGGGGACTTCTTGGGAGTAGGCGGGTTGTGGGTCATGGGCAAATCTCCCTCTTACAAATTTTCAAAGGGTGGCAAGAATGAGAAGGTCTCGTTGTTTTAAGTGGGCCTTGGTAGAGTCAGAGGGAGAGGCTAAATTCTGAAAGCAGCTTCAGCATGGTCCAGTCTCTTTCCATTAACATGGTCCAAGGAAACATGTGTAGTTTAGTGGCAGAGTACATGCTTTGCAGACAGATGGTCACAGGTTCAGTCCCTAGAATGTCCAGGTAGGACTGGAGAATCCTGGGGTGTTGCTGCCTGTCAATGTAGACCAGGGTTTCCCAAACTTGAGTCTCTGGTTGTTTTCGGACTACATCCCTAGCTAGCAGAATGAGTGGCGTGGAATGATGGGAATTGTAGTCCAAAAACAGCGAGAGACCCAAGTTTGGAAAGCTCTGCAGTAGACAATTCAGAGCTGGAGAAATGAAAGGCTCTGATTTTGTATGAGCAAGGGCATATTGGTCTAAGCCATAGAGACCTGGCCTTGCAGCAGCATACCTAAGTCCGAAGCAAGAGGAAGAACAAGTCAGTAGTAGGTCCTCTGCATGGAATGCTATTGGGGAACAGAGAGAAGGTGGAAGTGCTCAACACCTACTTTGCTTCTCTCTTCACCCAAAAGGAAAGCAGTGCCCAACCTGGAGATACAAGAAGGTTGCTGTGGCAAGATAGGAAAAGTGGTGGTAAGGGAACACCTATACTAGTAGCCAAAATTGTGGAAACCTAATGGAAAAAATGTATTTCTAAGGTCTGACGGCTCATAACACCTGATTGGCTCTCTAGACACTCATGCTCATTGGCTACATTCAAATGAAGGAAACCTACTGCATATCAACCTTAGCAAGTTGTGCTTCCTTTTCCTGGTTATTTGGCTATAAGCTTTGATAGAATACAGATAATTGAACAAACTTTGTTGTATTGCATTTTTCTTTAAATTATATTTCCATTGATATATAATTTTATGGTATTACTCCAAAAAAGAGTATTATGAGCCATCAGACTTCAGAAATATACTTTTTCCAAAAGGTTTCCACAATTTTGGCCACTAATGTAGCTGTTTTATTGAATCAGATCTCCAGGGCCTGATGAGCTGCACTCAATGGTACTAAAGGAGCTTGTGGATGTAATCTCAGAGCCTCCGTCTATGATATTTGAGAATTCCTGGAGATAAGGTTAGGTCCCTGAGGACTGGGAGTGGACAAATGTTGTCCCCATCTTCAAAGTGAGGATGAGGGAGAAGACCCAGGTAACTATTGACCTGTCAGCTTGACATCAGCACCAGGAAAGTTCCTAGAACAGATGATTAAACTGTTGGTCTGTGAACACTTAGAAAAGAATGCAATGATTGCTAAGATCATTGGGTTTCTCAAAACCATGTATCATTCCAGATGAATTTCACTTTTTCTTCTTTTGGATGGAGTTACAAGCTTGGTGGATCAAGGGAATGCTGTATCTAGACTTCAGTAAGGCTTTTGCCAAAGTCCCTCAAGATATTCTTGCAGAGAAGCTGGTAACTTGTGGGCTGGATGAGGTAATTAATAGGTGGATTTGTAGCATGTAGACTGGACGAACCCAAAGAGTGCTCACGAATGATTCCTCAGTATTCTTGGAAAAAATGACAAAATGTGTGCCACTCTGTTCTGTTCCTGGGCCTATTGTTTTTCTGTGTTCAAATCAAGAGGACCTCAACAGATGGAGAACAGTGTTGAAACTAACAAAATGAATTTCAAGTATAGTATCCCGGTCAAGGGAAGTAATAATTCTGTTGTATTCTGCCTTGGTCAGGCAACACCTAGAGTGCTAGCTGTCTTCAAATATCACCTGGAAGATGGAGCAAGCTTGTTTTCTCTTGTTCCTGAGGGTAGGACCTGAATCAATGGATTCAAGTTACAAGAAAGGAGATTCTGACTGATCCTTTGGAAGAGCTTTCTGACACTGAGAGCTTTTCAGTATTGGAACAGACTCCCTTAAAAGTTGGTGGACTCTCCTTCATGGGAGGTTTTTAAGCACAGCTTGGATGGTCAACTGTCATGGCTGCTTTAGTTGAGATTCCTGCATTGCAGGGGGTAGGACTAGATGACCCTTGGAATCCCTTCCAACTCTGCAGTTCTACGATTCCATGTACTGGGATGTAGCATAGCAGCAGCAAGGTCAGGACAGTGTGGGCACACCAAGTGGAAGTGTCACATTGGCCCTGCTGGTGCACCTGAACTGCCCTGATCTCATTGTCACCCATTCACAAACCCACACAATCCTGTTGCATAGCAGCAATGTTGCTGTCTAGAAGCCATGTCTGTAGTGGTGCCCCTCCTCCCTGCCAGTTGTTCCTGGGTATTTGGCAATTTCCTGTGTTCCTGTGCTTGCAAACATGCAATTCGTCCTGCAAGTCATGGCTGGTGGCTGGGAAGGCAGCAAAAAAATGGGAGGATTCTCAAGTCCCAAGTGGAATGTCATACTTGTGTTTTGGTTTGTGGAACACATGTTCTAATTTTCAGTTGGCACCCAAATGGGCGTGGTAGCTAACACAGGGACAAAAGCTAAATTAAAGACTTTGACAGGATGGCGTACTTTGCCAAAATGAGCAAAACAAATTCCAGAAGAGATGGAAGCTCTGCATTTCGGCAGCAAAAATAATAATCAGATGCAGTCATGAAGAATGGGTGGCATCTTGCTTGACAGCAGTATGCGTGAAAAGTATCTCTAGGTTTTAGTAGACCACCAGATAAATATGAGTCAGTAGTGCCATGTAGTGGCTAAAAAAGGTAGGCTAAAAAAACCCAGGTTGCATCAACTGAAGTATAGCATCCAAATCATGAGAAATAATTGCAGTGCTTTTTTCTGCTTTGGTTGGATCTCAGCTGCAGTTCTGTGTCCAGTTTTTGGCACTCAGGTTTAGGGAGAATATAGACCAATGTGTCTAGAGGAAGGCAGAGGTAGTGAGGGGCTTGGAGATTGAAGTCCTTGCGAGGAAAGATTGAACTTCTTGGGTATGTTTAGCCTTCAGAAGGGATTATTAAGATGTGGCAAGGATAACTGTGACTTTAAGGATGAATGGGAACCTTTCACAAAGTATTTGAAGACGCAACAAAGTGAACTGGACTCCTTGGCAGGTTTTGAATAAACATCCACAATTTTTTACTGATAATAATTAGCTAAACAGTTGGAGGATCTATACAACTCTGTAACATGCAGAAAATAGCATTATTGGAGAAACCAAAGACTGGAACTGAGGGAAGTTGGGGGGTGAGGTGGGGGGTGGGTTTTGTGGGGGGAGGGGGAGGAAAAATGGGGGGGGAATAAGGATGTGTTTTTGGAAAATATGTTTTGTTATAACTTTGAATAAAAAAAATTAAAAAAAGAAAGATATGATATAATAGCCATTTTCAAATATTTACATACCTGTTGCATAGTGGATGGAGAGCTTAAAAACCTGGTTAAAAACTTGTGGTCAGGAGGAAAGTTGGAGATGTACACAGCCTGTCTTCATGTCTCCTTCTCTCTTTCTCCTCACTGCCCCCTACCCACCTCCCGCTCCATTCTGGATTGCCCTGGATAGGTCTAAGGCAATCCAGGGTGATCTGCAGCCACCTCAACCCAATCTGGCCGAATCCCAAGTTGGCCTAAATTAGCCTGATTTGTTTCATTATCTGGGGTTTGGCTGAATTTAGTGCACAGTCCTTGTGGGCACTTTGTGAGTGATTTTTAAGCAGAGGCTGGGTTGCCATTTACGGGAGGATAGTTGTTTTTCTGTATCAGTATCCTTTGTGATGGACGCGGGTGGCGCTGTGGGTTAATCCACAGAGCCTAGGACGTGCCAATCAGAAGGTTGGTGGTTCGAATCCCCGTGACGGGGTGAGCTCCTGTTGCTCGGTCCCTGCTCCTGCCAACCTAGCAGTTTGAAAGCACCTCAGAGTGCAAGTAGATAATAATAATAATAATAATAATAATAATAATAATAATAATAATATATTATTTATACCCCGCCCATCTGGCTGAGTCTCCCCAGCCACTCTGGGCGGCTCCCAATCAAGTGTTAAAAACAGTACAGCGTTAAATATTAAAAACTTCCCTGAACAGGGCTGCCTTCAGATGTCTTTTAAAGATAGGATAGCTGCTTATTTCCTTCACATCTGAAGGGAAGGTAAATGGCGTTTCCGTGCGCTGCTCTGGTTCACCAGAAGTGGCTTAGTCATGCTGGCCACATGACCCAGCTCCCTCGGCCAATAAAGCGAGATGAGCGCCGCAACCCCAGAGTCGTTCACAACTGGACCTAATGGTCAGGGGTCCCTTTACCTTTATCCTTTGTGATGACTCCAGTCTCACAGAGGCAGGGGGGAACTTGCAAGTGGTTCAGTCCATCCCTTTGTTCAGTGTGCAAAATCCACAGGTAGACCACCACCAACAGATGCTTGTCCAGATTCCACTTGGAGGCCTCCAGCTGGGGAGTCTCTGGATCGATCCTCGCGTACATTGAACTGTTCATCTCTGTAGACTCAGCTGGTGTGCCAGCTAGGCAGCAGCTCCCCCCCCCCCCATACAGTTCTTAACCTTTTCTTTGTGCAATGAGCTACATCACTGTCATAATGGGAAGGGATTTTGACAGCAGGAGAGGTTATTCCAGGCAGCCGAGCCAGTATATTTTACAATGTGTTATGGGGATAGTTTTTGTGCATGTGTGCGTTTTAGCTATTGTTTATTTTACAATATTTATCCTACCTTCAAATGTGACCTCTCCAACTATAGTGGTACCTCGGGTTATGTGCTTAATTCATTCCGGAGGTCCGTTCTTAACCTGAAACTATTCTTAACCTGAAGCACCACTTTAGCTAATGGGGCCTCCCACTGCTGCCACACCGTCACACGTCATTTCTGTTCTCATCCTGAAGCAAAGTTCTTAACCTGAGGTACTATTTCTGGGTTAGCGGAGTTTGTAACCTGAAGCTGTATATGAATAAACCACTGTATATGAATAAACGTATTTTTAAAGCATATTGAAATCCCATTACATTAAATTACATAAAAACATATTAAACTGTTACAACACCAAAACATCAATTTCCTACTAACACAGAATGAGTATTATGTGGAACCTGTAATTGTGCCAACTGCACAAAGTGAAGCTTTTTTTGAATGGACACATAACAGATAAGGCAATCCTGAAAGTGAACTTCAGGTAAATTTCAATCATATGACAGATGAATACATATTAAATCATTGGCTCCCATAAACCATTGTGCAGTTCCATTTAAATGTACATGCATGACATCATTCAGTAGAAATAAAATTAAGAAGCCCTCGATTACCAATCCATAATTGCCACAAGCAAATTGCATTTTCGCTTGAAAATTAATTAAAGCAATATTCTTAGAAAGGTGCATTTCCTCACTTGCAAAGGAGAGGAAGGGAAATACCTAAAGAACTGTGTAAAAGTGGAGCGAGGGCAGACGTTGCAGGAATCTCTAACTTGACACAAATAGAAATGTTGCTGTAGAGAATAATTTGGCAAATAGCATTAGCAAATCATCTGGAATGAAACTGCGAGAATCAAAGCTTTCTTTTTTATGCAAGTAACAGTGCCTCGGTTAATTTAAAAACCCATACATCAAAATTAAGTCTATTTAGCGCACGAAACCGAGCCCCCGCCCCAATAGCTCTGCAAAACTGTGCATTGTTACGAAGCTGACACTTCTTTAAATTGAAAGGTATGCTTGCGGAACATCTCATCAGATGAGCGTTCGTAAGAAAATGCTTGTAGGTGCAAGCAAAAGAATGCCAAGCAATTCTGACATTTCATATGTGGATGAGACAGCAGTCACTGGAGAAGATGCGTAACTTGTGTCCTTGTCTGGTGTACTTGCATCCGATTTGGAGGATTTTATTACTATTATTATAGGGATGCGGGTGGCGCTGTGGGTTAAACCACAGAGGCTAGGACTTGCAGATCAGAAGGTCGGCGGTTCGAATCCCCGCGACGGGGTGTGCTCCCATTGCTCCCATTACTGTGGTCTACCTGTGGATTTTGCACTGTACTCCGGCTCCCTCAGCCAGTAAAGCGAGATGAGCGCTGCAACCCCAGAGTCGGCCACGACTGGACCTAATGGCCAGGGGCCCCTTTACCTTTACCTATTACTATTATTAAAGGGGGAAAAACTCACTGTGGAGAAGAATATGTTCAGGACAGGATCACGTACTGGGGAGCCCTACACATATGCACTTCTTGATGTGTGTGTCCTGAGGCAAAATAGACACAGCAGCATTCATATTGCAGTGTCCTCACTATAAGGCAGTTTGCAGATGTGGGGAAAAGAGGAAAGGGAGGTGAAATGGTGTGGGATCTGGAACCATGGGGTATTGGCCACCTTCTAGTCTGCAGTGCCTGCTGGAAAATACTAGGTGGGAAGGGTGGGTAGAGCACACAAAGCAAGTGTAAGTGACCAGGGAAGAAAAATGAAGAAGGTGATAATCATGGAGTCATAGAATTGTAGAGCTGGAAGGGACCCTCAGGGTCATCTACTCATCCCACAATACTTCTTCCTTCTTTGGCGGTCACTCGTAGCCGAGTAAGATTGTCTTCCATGAACACAGTTTTAACAGTGAGTCCGTAAGTGACTGTGGAGGCCAATTCTGGATCCACATGTCCTTCCACAGTGGGGACATAGGTTTCTGGGCAGGAGTAGATGACAGTGAGGGTTTGCCAAGCGTGCCTTCCTCTTAGCATGTTTCTCTCTTTCGTCTTGAGTTTGAGCATCTTCAAAGTCCATGACACCTTTGGTAAAGGCTGTTCTCCAACTGGAGTGCTCGCAGGCCAGTGTTTTCCAGTTGTCGGTGTTTATATTACTTTTTTTTAAAAAAAGTTTGAGTTTTAAAACCTCTTTTGTTGACCACCAGCATTTTGTTTTCCATTTTTATGTTTGGAATAGAGTAGTTGCTTTGGAAGACGATAATCAGGCATCTGCACAACATGAGCAGTCCAACGAAGTTGATGTTGAAGAATATTGCTTTGACACTGGTGATCTTTGCTTCTTGCAGTACACTGGCATTAGCTGTCCCATACAGAGTTGAATTTGTAACCTTGGCATTATCAGCACCATGCTCTAACCAACTGAGCTATCCACACTGCTTATTAACAGAATCTCCTCCCAGGTTGCGAAGGATGTAGGTGTCATGGGACTAGAATCTAGAAAACCAGGGTCCCAATCCCCACTCATCCATGAAGCTCATTGAGTGACAGTGGGCCATTATGCCTCCCCTGCAAGATTCTCATGAGGATAAAATAGGGAGGGAGGGAGCCATCTATGCCACCTTGAAGGAGAGATGGGATCTAAACATCATCATCACCATTTCCCATACTCAGACAATAATGCTGACCTACTTTACAATTGCCATAAGGATTACTGAGATAATGTATGACATGTATGGAATTGTGCATGACGTGTTTTGAGCACTTGAGCTACACTGTATAAATGCAACAGTGTTGTTATTCATTAAAAGTAAAGAAGTAGGAAAGGGGCTTGAAAGCAAGAGGTGGGAGGAGAGGATCAAGAATCATTTTCAGGGGAAAGGAAGTGGCTCTATGACAGAACATCTGCTTTGCATGCAGAAGTCCAACTATATAGTGTGCTGATGTCTCTCCCCCATGCCCATTCACTTCAGTAAGACAGCAGTCAATTCACAAAGGTCTCTAGATAATTGCACATGTAGTGTGTTGACCAGCATAGGTTGCCAAAACAAACAAATGACAACAACAACAACTCTTTTAGATGTGTCTTACTGGTCTGGTCAATCATCAACCCATGGCAAAATGCATGGAATATATAAATGGTACAATCTGTGTACCTTGGCCCAATCCATATGACCCCAACACGAGGGAGGATATGGGAATCTTGCATCACCCCAAAGAGTTACTTGTGGGTCTCAGACTGAGATCTGCAAGGGGTGGATAGTGTTCATGCTCAATTTTTACCTTGCCTGTTTCCTTTATGCAGCCACACTGTGATGTTTGTGTTATGTAGGATAACAGCATAGCCTACTTCGGACATGTAGATGCATCACTTGATTCTTCTGCACCTGAGACTTATATATTGCATATACTAGTTAGTTTAAGCTGAATGTGTGAATTAACTGGGGGCAGAGAACTGTGGTGGCATTGGGTAATATGGGAATTGTCTATATGGTTCTAGACTTACAGTTTGTTTAGGGGAGGGTTGTAGGTCAATGGAAAACCACATGCTTTCCTAGAGTCGTTTCCCAGCATCTACAGGTAGGGCTTGGAAGGATTCCTGTGTAAAATCCTGAAGAGATGCTTCCAGCCATCCTGGTCTAGGCAGATCAATGGTCTGACTCAGTATAATGCAGCTTCTTATGTTCCTGTGACAGCTCATTCACACATACAAGTCAGTACTTGATCTTGTAGCCATCAAGGGAGGAACACGGTAAAACGGCCCTGTGTCTCCATAGGAACTTGGAGAGAACATGCTGTATAACATTCCACATCCAGAGGCTCTGGTAACAACATCAAAGCAAAATCAGATAAAAACAATAGGCCAAGGAGTCCACAGTGCTGTTTATTAAATCAAAGGAAAATTGATCCAACCTGCACTGCGGTAAGTAAAAAGTAACCCAACAAGACATATCACAGCTCTTCTGGAAAATGTGATGTGTCGTGTCTATCAGGGAAGAGAGCTCCGTAGATGTGATAAAGGGCCATCGGAAGTGTCTTAGGCTACAATAAAAGCAGACTTTCCTGGGAGGAACCCTACTCAACACAGTAGGCCTTCTGAGTAGAAACGCATAGGATTGCATTCTAAACATTTAGTCACATAGAATGAAAACTCCTTAAGTACTATAACACAAGAGATCACTCTTGCTTCACACAAGCAGTGGGAAGGTATACGTTGTGGTGGTCCAAAATACTTTATGGAATTTGTGGATGGATGTAGATATAGATATAGATGATATAGATGTAGATATAGATGTAGATATATTTGGTTTTAGGGCCCCATACTCATAAAATTGGCTCCCAGTACATTTCCGAGCACGATTCAAAGTGTTAGTGCTGACCTTTAAAGCCCTAAAGAGCCTCAGCCCAGTATACCTGAAGGAACGTCTCCATCCCCATCGTTCAGCCTGGACACTGAGATCCAGCTCAGAGGGCCTTCTGGCAGTTCCCTCACTGTGAGAAGTGAGGTTACAGGGAACCAGGCAGAGGGCCTTCTTGGTAGTGGCACCCACCCTGTGGAACGTCCTCCCATTAGGTGTCAAGGAAATAAACAACTATCTGACTTTTAGAAGGCATCTGAAGGCAGCCCTGTTTAGGAAAGTTTTTAATGTTTGATTTTTTTATTCTGTTTAATATTCTGTTGTGAGCTACCCAGAGTGGCTGAGGAAACCCAGCCAGATGGGTGGGGTATAAACAAACAAACAATATTATTATTATTATTATTATTATTATTATTATTATTATTATCTGACCAATGCATTTTGTTCGGAATGTGAACAAGACCATGCAGTTTAAAATAGATCTCATACTTACGAGTGTGTGTGTCTGTGAGCAAGATAATGTATATTTCAGTTGTAACTGACACAGTTGTCAGAGGTTAAGAAGATGGCACAAGAGTTTTGATCGGGGCAACGCAATCAGATGGGTTGGTTACAAACAACAACTACTACTACTACTACTACAACAAGAAGAAGGCATATGGTACAAATGGTTCTAGACTATCACCTTTGACTTCAATTTTATATAATGGCCAAGTCTGCACTAATTTGTTCAGTGATGTCATCCAAGTTCACAAAATTTCTGGATGTCAGTCTTAGATAAATTCAAATCACAGGATACAATATCCAATTAAATCCAAAGAAAACTCTCACTAGATATCTGGATGTAGAGATAGATTCAGTAGATTTAGAATTACTATCCACCTTCTTTCTGTTGCGGCAAACTGTATAGCAGAGAGATGCAAGTCCACCTAAACTCTCACAATCATAAAGTGGCTAAGAAAATAGTGATATTGCACTGATAATCAGATTGACGTATGGCTCTAGAACATATTCAAGAAAATGAATTTATTGGATTCATTAATTTTGGGGATTAACAACTTTCGAGATAGCGATTCAGCCTCATTTGTTTTCCTCGTTACATTCTTAATTTCTTGTATATTTATTATATCAAAAAATATTATATTTGCTTGTCCTTGTATGATTTCATTTCTTACCTGCACATAATTCTTATGCTTTTTTGTGTGTAGCTCCTTTTTTGTTTTCTATTAGAATACAAAAGTATTTTTTAAGCAACAACAACAACCACAGACTTAAAAATAACAGAAGAAAAAGAATTATAGGATAGGAATTGTCTGAGGTGCTGTTTTGCTTTGCCATAGACAGCTTCAGGGGAGCTTGTGGATGATATAACCAATTAATTTGATGTTTTACATTGCTCTGCCTCTCGTGGAAGAAGCCAGACACTGAGAAAGTAAGTCTAGTTGAAAGCTTGTACCCTTATAGTTTTCACATGGCAGGGTTCCCGGAGAAAGCACTAAGGGGCTCGCTCCATTTTGAGCCTTATAATCAGCAGCTCGCTGAAGCAAAAGGCACAGCACAGCAACAATTTCAGCTCATCATTGAAAAGGTGCCATGTGACATGATTTACCATTTCAGCTAGAAAGAATGCCATCTGTTGTGGAAATCCTCTCTTTCTGCACCACAGACTACAACCTGCGAAGGCTCTTATTTCCACCCTTGCTTCAGTTTCACTGAAAATGCAGCAAAGAAGAAGAAGAAGAAGCTTAAATGCAGCAAAACAACTCAGTTCAAGGTGCCGGTTCTGCAGTATATAAAGCCGTGTACAGCTTGGGATCAGAATACCTGAAATATCATCTCACTCCTTATATATCCAATATATCACTGCGCTCTGCAGGTGGGGACCTTGTTCAGATTACATCTTAACAGGAAGTCTATTCTGCACAATTTAGGAATTGGGCCCTGAGTTTGGAATCCCACCCCAACTAAATATTAGGCTCCATCATCTCTCTTTCCATGTTGTTGCTGTTGTTGTTTAGTCATTTAGTCGTGTCCGACTCTTCGTGACCCCATGGACCAGAGCACGCCAGGCACTCCTGTCTTCCACTGCCTCCCACAGTTTGGTCAAACTCATGCTGGTAGCTTCGAGAACACTGTCCAACCATCTCGTCCTCTGTCGTCCCCTTCTCCTTGTGCCCCAATCTTTCCCAACATCAGGGTCTTTTCCAGGGAGTCTTCTCTTCTCATGAGGTGGCCAAAGTATTGGAGCCTCAGCTTCAGGATCTTCCAGTGAGCACTCAGGGCTGATTTCCTTAATGATGGAGAGGTTTGATCTTCTTGCAGTCCATGGGACTCTCAAGAGTCTCCTCCAGCACCATAATTCAAAAGCATCAATTCTTCAGCGATCAGCCTTCTTTATGGCCCAGCTCTCACTTCCATACATCACTACTCTCTTTCCATAGCCTATGGCAAACCTTCCTCTTCCAACTAGCCTTTTAAGGAGAGAGCTTTCCCAGCCTGCTTTGTATCTGAATTGTTTTTAGATGTTTTGATTTCATGGAAGAAGGGCCGTGAATGGCTGCTAGCTGTGATGGCTAGGCTTTGCCTTCATGGTTAGAGCCAAAAGTGCTTTTGGATATCTTTTGTGGGACACTACAGAAGGCGAGAGGGCTCCTGTGCTTGGGTCAATCTTGTGGGTTTCCCACAGGCATCTATAGGATCTATAGCATCTATACTGGACTAGATGGACCATTGGCCTGATACAGGAGAGTTCTTCCTATGTTCAGGATTTATTTATCCATGTTGTATATCATCAGGCTGGAACTCCACAGTTGATAGGCACATGTCTCGTTAGTCCCTTTTCCACTGTCATTTTGAACAACCTCATCACTGTTTCGTGTATTTCCTGACCTGCTGCCAGTTAGGGATGGGCAATATTTGGTTTTCAACATTGCAACATTCTTCTTCTTTGGCAATCACTCGTAGCTGAGTAAGATTGTCTTCCATAGACACGGTTTTAACAATGAGTTTGTAAGTGACTGTGGAGGCCAATTCTGCACCCACACGTCCTTCCACAGTGGAAACATTGGTTTCTGG